CATCGTGCACCGAAGATCACAATTTTAACTACGTTGAACACTTAAAATTATTAAACCATGCATTAAAAAAAAGTGATGATAAACAATACTGTGTTAAATTAAGCCAATAACAAGCTATACTTAAACTCGCCCTACGATTGGCTTTCAATGTTGGAGATTATATGAAAGAATCAAATACACATACAATATGATATGGTATTCCAAAAGCATAAGATAAATGTTTAGAAGCCACGATATAGAAAACCATAAGAGATGCGATTTATTCGAAGAAAAGACGAAAGACGACTCATCTCGGCACAAAGTCCATCATATAGAACCTAAGCTAACTCCTGAGTGGGCTTATTTCAACCACTTTGGGTGCCAAATTTCACGAACAAAGTTATGTTTCATCTCCTTGTAGATTAGTTTCACTTAAGGTGACAAAGAAGTAAAGTTGGATGATATCAACCTAATTCATATAAACTCCATTGAATGCTAACCACAAACATCATACATATATACAGGAAATTCCAGGGAACGGAGCCGATTCCCGCTACATTTTTACATAAACATCCCATAGGAAATTCTCTTAATGAACTGGATCTGGATTGAATAGCACAGATTCCCTCCATATAAGCTCTTTGATGTGATCTTCAGTGCACGATGATTGCTCGAAATCGAAACTGAAAGGTCGAGGACAGACGGGTTCATCATTGGTATCGTGAAGAGATGCCAAGTATGGGTGACAAAGTGCCTCATCAACTGCATAAACAGATCGCAACAAAATAACTAGTACGCAACCATCTCAAATGCTGTGCTTGAAATTCTAGTTTCTTGGCTCGTATACCTGTAATTCGTTTGTTGGGGTCAAAGACAAGCATTCTTTCTAGCAGATCAACAGCTGCAGCAGACATATTTGGGAACCTAGCTGAAAAATGTTGTTTCCTACACTGTGGAAGCTGCCTAAAGTACCTTCGGGCATTGTTGCTTCGGAGAAATCCGAGACTCGTGTCGTCTGGTGAACCTATCAGCTTTTGCACACACACACACACACAAAAAAAAAATGTTCAGATTAAAATGCGGATCGCCTATGCAAGACCATAGCTACCTCAGTGATGAGTCTGAGCTGATGAACATAATCTTTGCCCGGAAACAGAGGCTCCCTTGTCTTAATCTCTCCAAATATGCAAGCAACAGACCACATATCAATTACAGCAGTGTATTATGAACAATTAAGGAGCAACTCCGGCGCTCGGTACAAACGAGTGACGATATACTCAGTCATGAAATCTGTTTCAGACGTGGTCCTGGCCAATCCGAAGTCGGCGATTTTAAGGTCGCAATTGGCATTCAAAAGCAGACTGCTTGGCTTAAGGTCACGGTGCAAAACATTGGCGGAATGTACATACTTCAGCCCTCGTAACAGCTGGTATAAAAAGTACTGCACAAGGTTTCATTATCAGATTCATGGTATATGCAGTGTTTGATGAAAGTATGATAATAAATGTGCTGTTCTCATAGCCTGTTTATCCAAACCTGACAATGATCATCTTTCAATGGTTGGTCAGAGCGGACTATGTGATGAAGATCAGTGTCCATCAATTCGTAAACGATGTTAACATCATTGAAGGTGTTGACGAAAACGGGTAAAGAAAACGAAAGAACACGAGAATTTTACGAGGTTCGGCAATGTGCTTACGTCCTCGGTGCCTAGGCGGCGCTAGAAGTTTTATTCAATGATTTTTTAGGTCTAGATTTCTTCAATCTGCAAACTAAATGCTCGTTTCCAGGTTGAGTGAAACCTTCAGGTTGCCGCATGTAGATCTGCTCCTCTAAATCACCATGCAAAAAAGCAGTTTTAACATCCATCTGCTCTAAATGCAAATCCCAACTAGCCACCAATGCAAGTACTGCTCGGATTGAAGTGTGCCTGACCACAGGAGAAAAGATTTCATCATAATCAACTCCTTTCTGCTGTGAAAAACCCTTCGCTACCAAACGAGCCTTGAACTTCTCCCCTTCTTTTTCTGTTACTGCTGGTTTCTTCTTATACACCCATTTGCAACCAATCGGCTTCTTACCCTCAGGAAGGGGAACTAACTCCCATGTGTGATTGTGATTCAAAGACTCCATCTCCTCAACCATGGCTGCCATCCACTTGTCGTTTTCCTGACTAGTAACGGCATCATGAAAAGTAACTGGATCATCATTGCTAACAGTAAGTGCAAAAGATACCAAGTCTTCAAAACTCAATCTGTTCGGAGGCTTTATATTCGTCCGTCTCACCCTGTCTCTGGCGAGACTATAATCCTGCAAATCATCCGTAGTAGAACCACCAGAAGTCAGTTGAGAAGTTTCTGGTTTCTCAACTGGAAACTGCTCGAAATCTACCACTGTCGTGTCTTGCTTCTGCTGCAACATAGATTGTTCATCAAAAACGACATCTCTACTAATCACAACTTTCTTCGCAACTGGATCCCAGAACTTGAATCCTTTGACACCTTTCTTGTAACCCAGAAAAATGCACTCCTTCGATTTTGCATCAAGTTTGGATCTCTCATCAGCAGGTACATGCACATAAGCAGGACAACCAAAAATCCGTAAGTTATCAAAACAAACATCATGACCAGTCCATACCTCTTCTGCAACTTTCCCAGCCAGCGATGCCCTTGGCGATCTGTTGATAAGGTAACACGCCATGTTAACAGCCTCAGCCCAGAAGTGTTTGGGAAGCCCCGCATTCAACCGCAAACATCTGGCTCTTTCATTCAACGACCTGTTCATTCGTTCCGCAACACCATTCTGTTGTGGTGTCTTGCGCACTGTAAAATGCCTCTGAATCCCATGCTCCTTACAGAATTGTAGGAACTGTGAATCTGTGTACTCCGTACCATTGTCAGACCGCAAACACTTGATTTTTCGTCCTGTTTGGTTTTCTACCTCAGCTTTCCACAGCTTGAACTTCTCAAAAACTTCAGATTTCTGTTTCAAAAAATACACCCAAACTTTCCGTGAAAAATCATCAATAAAAGTAACATAGTACCTAGATCCACCCAAAGACGATGTCGTGGAAGGCCCCCATACATCAGAATGCACATAATCAAGAATCCCTTGAGTTGTGTGCTTCGCAGTCTTGAAACGGACTTTAGTCTGTTTACCAAGAACACAATACTTGCAAAAATCGAGCTTACAGCTTTTGACACCATGCAACAAGTTTCTCTTGTGTAATTCTGCCATACCACGTTCACTAAGATGAGCAAGGCGCATATGCCACAAGTTTGTCGTATCATCACAGGACTCAACAGAGTGAACTCCACCTGCAACGGTACTCCCTAACAATCTGTAGATATTCCCTGCAGTCATCTTGCCTTTCATCACAGTCAATGCTCCTTTAACAATCCGAATGGTTTCCCTATCCTCGTCAGCCTTAGGGATAAAACCATTCTTGTGCAAAGTGCCCAAGGAAATCAAATTCTTCTTCAAGTCTGGGATATGTCGAACACCACTCAACGTCCGAACGGAGCCATCGTGCATCTTAATTCTGACATCACCAATACCAACAATATTGCAACATCGATCATCACCCAAATAAACCGAACCAGAATTAACCGGCCTGTATGTCAAAAACCATTCCCTATTTGGCGTGATGTGATAAGAACATCCAGAATCAAGAATCCAAGCATCTGTCAATTGTGTCGTTGAAATAGAAAGCATATCACCCTCACTGCAATCAGAAGTATCATCCTCGACCACGTTCACAGACTTGGATGAGCCATCACGCTTCTCATCAGTCTGCTTTTTCAACTTCGGACAGTCTCGCTTCATATGTCCCGCCTCCTTGCACTTGGAACAGTGAATCGTCTTCTTATCCCTGGATTTGGATCTGGAATTCCGCTTCCCGGACCCTACCTTCTCTGGCTTCCGTCCACGATCTCGATTACCCTTGACATATAAGCTATCGGCTTGAGAGCTTTCCCCTGCATTCTGCTTCCGCTGGTTGTGAGCCAACAAGGCTGCAGTAATCTCCTCAACGTTGATAGTCTCTTTCCCATATGTAAGAGTAGTCACCATGTGTTCGTAAGAGGAAGGCAACGAACACAACAGAATCATTGCTCTGTCTTCATCCTCAATTTTCACATCAAGCCGAGCCAGATCAGAAACGATTTGATTGAAGACATTCACGTGTTGCGCCAAATCGTGATCGTCCTGCATCTTCAGCCCATACAACCGCTGCTTCAGATACAGTTTTGTCGTTAAGGATTTGGACATAAACTGACTTTCCAACTTCCTCCAAATTTCGTCTGGAGACGATAGATGCATGACGTGATACATGACCTCGTCCGCCAAGCATAATCGTATGGTTCCTGTCGTTCGCTGCTGCAATTCTTCCCAATCTTCCTCATCCATCGACGTCGGCTTTGTAGGTCGCAAAGCCTTCAAGATCCCTTGCTGCGCCAATAGATCCTTCACCCTCGTTTGCCATAATCCGAAGTTACTCTGACCATCGAATTTCGCGACTTCGAATTTTGCTCCTGACATCTGATACCAATTGTTGACGAAAACGGGTAAAGAAAACGAAAGAACACGAGAATTTTACGAGGTTCGGCAATGTGCTTACGTCCTCGGTGCCTAGGCGGCGCTAGAAGTTTTATTCAATGATTTTTTAGGTCTAGGTTACATCTCTATTTATAATAGAAAACCCTGGTACATAATTACAAAATCAACCCTGTACCGTACCGCGGGGGCTACGCCCCCGCACCCCCAACCCACATAATTTGTAACCCCACAACGAGACTTTCTTTGTAAGGACAGTTGATGTTCGCTCACTCCGCTCCATCTCGTGTCCTCTTTACTGGTATATTTATGAGCCATATCTAACAAAAGGTCTCCTTCTTCGGAGGTCGAATGAGGTCCTTGATGGCAATGACCTGCAAAAACAGGAGGAGATGCGTACGTGATTAACCCCTGAGAACCAAATTCTAAAGTTGGAGCTCGGGGCTTACATTATCATGGCTCATGTGACGAAGAAGCTTTATTTCCCTCAATGTCCTTTTGGCATCTATAATGTTATCAAATGCATTGCCGATCTTCTTAATAGCAACCTCCTGAAGCGTCTCTGAATTGACAGCAGCACTGGAGAAGAACGGCAAAGAGTTCATGTAATACACTTCCACCTTAACAAAGCATGGAATGCCAATTGGTATTATGGTAAATAAAATTTTAACAGGCATAAGAGGTGCGTCTATTTCATTTTTTTCGTACAACATCACGGAAGACTCCCGCAAACTGCTACGTCTAACAATTACAGAAATGGGATAGGCATGGTTGAACGATAAGATTGAAATTTTAAGGTTATTTAAGTCTTAATATTAATAAATATTATATTCTGATATTATAATAACTATTTTGATATGTATTATTTATATTTCAAATGATAAACATATGAATTGATTTATATACGACTTCATACCCTAGTTATTTATTTATTACATCAAGTCAAAATTATATACGATTTCTATTACGGGCACTCTCTTTAAACACTAAGACTACTTTATAAGTTATTTTATATCATTGTTTTTTGATTAGCTTGACATAGTATTCTTAAAAGTTGTCTTTTTTTGTTCATAGTTTATGATAATTATAAGGTAGTATGTGTTTTTAACTTTTTATAGTAATTAATTATGCACGCACATTGTAAAACAACTGCTTGAACTCATGACTTATAGGGAAAACAACATTTCCTTCAACCAACTAGGCACCTTAATGGGTTCGAGATATTATAGGTTTGTATAAAAAATTATATTAATAATTTAATTTATATATACTAACACCCTTATATATTTGAATTAGTTTTATGTTACTCTTTACGCCGTGTTTAATTATTTTTTTTACTCCAATTCAGATTGTGTACATAACTTGATTTTTAAGTTGAAATTATAAGATTTTATTTAACAGAACTAATATGAACATCGTTGAAAATCCTAAGCTAATTTATGGAAAGCGAGGAAAAAGATATTATAGTTTTAGTAGTAAGAGAGCATCACTTAATTAAAGTCTGACCACAACCTACAAAAATCCTTTTAAAAAACAAAAACCAACCCATACAGTGAATCAACAAAAACATACCCAAAAAGGGAGGAAAAAATTAATCAACCACCAAACAAAAGAGCATTATAAACAACAGCAGAAACAAAAACTCCCATGAAATATTTGAACAAGAACACTAAACGTAGCATAAAATAAACTTACCATACAATACCGTTAGCACCTCTACCGATCGGACGAATAGGAGGAGCGTACTTGCTGGACACCTCAAACAGGTTACCGTACACATTGTGGTGTACATATTTTCCTCCATGAGTCAGCACTTCCTTCACACTGCCTCCCTCTGAGCTCGACTGTTTTGTACTCCCTATTTCCTTCTTCATTTTACGTGTTTTCCCCCTCCTTCTGCTGCTCGAAACCAAGTTATCTAGTAAGAAGAAAAGGAAAACTCAGACTAGGTTTATTTATATCTGTAGAATCATTGTTGGGCAACTTTGTTTATTTTAAGTACTTGTAATGTTCTTTAGACTGCAAAAATATGTTAGCTTCCTTAGTTTTTTTTTCCTTTTTTGAGAAACTCAGGGATGGAGAGTTTTTCTTTGTTTGATATGATCAAAGTTTGGTGGGTCCAAATCCGTGAAATGAAAGGAGACATTTTCTAGTTTTTCTGCAGATTTTTTAAAAAAAAGTAAAATTGAATTAATCCATCCCTCACGTAGCGTAACATGTGGTACCTTTTAACATCACCCATGCAAGATGGTGCCAAGTATTCTCTTAGCCAACTGCTTTTCGGATATGGTGGTTGTGCCCATCACGGGATGCCTGCTGCCGTTCCTTGCCCTCTTTTTGCTGTGCAGGCAGTGGAGGATCCACGCCTTATTGAAGGTGGATAAAGGGACGGGCATTGGACCCGAACCAGAAGGGGTTCTGACCCGATTTGGCCGGATTTTTTTAAAAAATTTTGGGTTCGGGTCGTGTCAGATTTTTTAATGTTAGGTTAGGATCGGATTGTATTCGATTTTAAGGTGAAAAATACCCGACCTGATCCGACTTGAAAACAATTTTAATTTTACCTTATATATTTAAGGATAATTACAATAATATTCATCTATATATTATTTTCTTTCAATTAAATCCTTATTTTTATTGAATAAAAATCAAATTTTTAATATATATATATATATTATTTTGGGTAGGGTTCAAAATTTTTCTCAAAAAATCAAGTCAAGCTCAGGTTGGGTGGAAGATGTATATTTTTTTTGGGTCGAGTGGAGGATTTATGATTTTTGGGTCCGATCGGGTGGACCTAAAATCCAACTCGACTTGACCCATGCCCATCCCTAGATGGATATATATGTTTACCATAAAATTTGAATTTTCTTCGTATAATTATCTATTCCATATATTATACTTATCTTGAAATTTTATTCATATCAATTCATATAAAACATTATACTATGAGAAAATAACCTCAGTGACCAAAAATGCCTTATAATATACGATTTTAACCAACTTTTTTTAGATTTGCCAAAATGACCAACAAAATCGCAATGCGAAATAAAAATCGCAACGCGATCTCCAAAATCGTAAATCAGTTCCTAGAATCGCAACGCGATTATGAAGAATCGCAATGCAATAGTACAAATTAGCATTGCGATTTTCCAGAATCGCAACGCGAATATGAAAATCGCAACGCGAACATATAAATCGCAACGCGATTCTGACTATCGCAACGAGTATCCGTAAAATCGCAACTCGTATCCGTAAATCGCAACGACAATACGTAAAATCGCAACGCGTATCCGTAAATCGCAACGAGAATACGTAAATCGTAACGCGTATCTGTAAATCGCAACGAGAATACGTAAATCGCAATGCGTATCCGTAAATCGCAACGACAATACATAAAATCGCAACGCGTATCCGTAAATCGCAACGCAATTTTTAAAGCGCCATTAGAATCGCTACGCGTATTTTATTTTCAAATTCCAAACACGAATATTAATTATCGGAACACTGAACCGTCCACAGTATATCCCGTAATCGCAACTCATAACCTAAAACCTAAAATCACAACTCAGTCCCATCTCTATCTCTCACTCTCTACGGCGAAATCCGTCCCCATCTCCGAAGATTTTCGTCCCCATCTCCGGCGAAATCCCTCACAATAATTCACGGTCAGAAATCCCTCACAATCATTCAGAAATGGAAAATCAACCTCCGAGGGTTAGTTTTTTTAATTATTTTTATTTTGAAATTTTTGCATTATTTTAGGTTTTTCATATTGAAATTGATGATAAGTTTACTGGTAATTTCAATAATAGATTAACCATTTCACTTAGATTTCTTATTAAATTCATTCGATTGTTGCAAATTTTAGTTTCAAGAATAAACTACTACTCTTTATGTTTATTGTTTTTTGTATATCTTCACAGTGTAGTTTTTGGTATATCTAACTTGGTATGTTTATTGTTTTTGTAGAAATTTGTTTCGGCTTCATTGACATTAAGGAATAAAGTTAGCCTAGCCACTACAATTGCTTCGAAGCTTTCACCTGCACAAAGAAAATTGTTTGAGGAAACATGCTTCGGGCCATGGCTGAGAGTACAGCATCCGGGTGGAGATGCTAATTTGACCCATTTGTGGCTTCAGACCATGACTAGCGATCTACCCGACAGTATACAACGTGGTGAGGAAGAGATATGGTTTTATTTTTCACCGGCGTATACTTGTTTTGGGTGGAAGGAGTTCTGCTTAATCACTGGTCTACGATTCGGACACGATGATGTAAGCCGGTACACTCATCATATCACCCGTCCATCATGGTTATCCCGGGTTTTTCCTGATGAGTCAATAGAGAAGCCGAACTTACACGTCGACGACCTGAAGAAATTGTTTAATAAGAAAGATGGTTTTACTCGGATGAATGACGTCGATGTTGTCCGAGTATGCCTTCTAGTACTTTTGTATGCCGGCTTTTTAGGCAGAGAGGCCAGACAACCTATTCCTCAGGAGCTAATATTATTAGTAGAGGACCTAAATGCATGGAATCTGTTTTCGTAGGGTTCGTATATATGGAAAGCTACCTGGACTAAGTTGTCATCTGCCTTTGATGACCGCAAAAGTTTGCGTGGCGATGGGTCGAAATACACTTTGTCAGGATTTGTTTGGGCCTTTAAGTAAGAATTTCTATATAATGTTTTCAAAATTATAATTAATTATTTAACAATTACTAATGTTTGTTATTATATTGTTTGTAGATTTGGATATTCGAGGTTTTCCCCAGCATGCGGACATATGCATTAAAAACTTCAAATGATATTCCTAGGGCTATTTCCTGGAAGAGAAAATGTCTGTTGGATTGGGAAGACTTAATACCATATGCGATAATAAATAATGTAAGTTAACACAAATACTATCATATATAAACAAGTTATTAATAGTAGACGTTTAACTTTGTTTGAGTTTTTATATTTTTAGGAGGCCAACACTCCATTACAGAGACTAACACCCACGGAGGCTGAGCTTGCCACTGATTGGTGGCAAGCTAGTCACCGTTTTTTTGATGGCACGAATGATGAGCAGCCTCCACTTCCTCCACTTCGAGAGCCATCACCTCACCCATAGCCATCACCTGATCGACCCGACTATACACCTCTACAACGAGAGCCATCACCTATCCCGTCACATCATCGAGCCTCTTCTCTACCATCACCTCATGATAGGCGACCGGCAAAGATGCCACAACTTCTATCTCCCTGTTCTCCACCTCCATAGGATGAGTCAAGGGAGTTACGTGATGAGGTCAATGCCTTGCGTGAGGAGATCGGTACTCTACGCGATAACGATGGTGCATGGCGTGTGGAGGTGTCTACTTTACGTGGTGAGGTTGCCGCTCTACGTGAGATGGTAGTATCGTTGCAGAATGAGGTTCATACTCTACGCAACGAGGTAAGTTTAAGATTTTCCATATTTAACTTGATGATAAATTTACTCGTAATTTCACTTAAATTAACCATTTCACTTAGATTAACCATTTCACTTAGATTGCTTAGTAAATTTATTCGGTTGCTGCCAATACTGCTAAACTGTTTATTCTTTAACACTGTAAAGTTAGTATTTGTCTTTTGTTTTGTCTTTTGGTTGAAGTAAATTTATTCGGTTGCTGCCAATTCTGCTAAACTGTGTATTCTTTAACACTGTGAAGTTAGTATTTGTCTTTGTTTTGTCTTTTGGTTGAAAGTAAATTTGTTCGGTTGCTGTCAATTCTGCTAAACTGTATACTCTTTAACACTGTGAAGTTAGTATTTGTCTTTGTTTTGTCTTTTGGTTGAAAGTAAATTTGTTCGGTTGCTGCCAATTCTGTTAAACTGTGTATTCTTTAATACTCTGAAGTTAGTATTTGTCTTTGTTTTGTCTTTTGGTTGAAGTAATGCAATCCATTCAAGTTTCAATTTGCAGAAGAAGAAATAGTTTACTTTCGCAACACGAAACTTAAAATCACAACGTGAAAAATGACTATCGCAACGCGAAATAAAAATCACAACTAGAGAATCGCAACGCGAAATGAAAATCGCAACGAGAGAATCGTAACGTGAAACTATAATTGCGTTGCGATTTTCATTTCGCATTGCGATTATCTCGTTGCGATTTTCATTTCGCGTTGCGATTCTCTTGTTGTGATTTTCATTTCGCGTTGCGATAGTGATTTTTCACGTTGTGATTTTAAGTTCCAGAAACTATATTTTCTTCTGCAAATTGAAACTTGAATGAATTGCATTAGTTCAACCAATAGACAAAGACAAATACTAACTTGACAGTGTTGCAAGTTTGAAACATATTTTTCTTTGTTATCTGATGCATTTTGTAAACTATGATAGAATAATGACTTGGGTGAATACAATGCAAGTTTGAAACATATTTGTCTTTGTTTTCAATGTTTAAATACCATGTCTGTTTATTTACTGATTTTTGTATTTAATTATTTAGCGGCCCGATAAGGTGGATGCTTTACGTCGGGTTTTTCTTGCACGACGGAGTTCACGCATCAGACGTTGTGCACGTGCTATTAAGTCTCCGTACACCCCAATAGTGCGAAGACACCGCAAGAAGAAGCCCGACTCGCCTGTCATCCCTCAAGAGTCCACTCCTATCGTTGAAGAGGCCCCTATCATTCCTCGAGAGTCCCCTCCCACCGTTCAAGAGGCCACTGTCATCCTTGAAGAGGTCTCTCCCACCATTCAAGAGCCCGATTCACATGGCGTCATATGTAAGATTCTTGAGAAACTCTCTGACGTGCCGGACATGATGGATGAGAGTTGGCTCTCGTATGAGTTACCGGCCAGTACCATTCCGGTATCTGAAGTGGAGAGGAGACAACTACCGGACACAATTCTGGATAACACCCTTTGGGCTAAGACCGCAGTTGATTTTTATCTACATGAGCGGAGTCAGGGGTGTTTCACTGACATATGCAAGCTCAACGATGATATCTATTAGTTGCTTGATCGGTCTTGGTGGGGCGTATTATTAGGGGTCGAAGACAATGGCTATTTCGATGGAGGGGTAAGTCTTATATTTTTCTTATATTTCAATTTGATTATTTTTTTTAAATTTATGTAAGTCACTAATATATGTTTTTTTTTTGTAAAACAGCATATCGATGCGTGGGTATCACGTCTTCTAATAATTAGGAAACTTAAGAAAAATAAAAGAAATACACGATATACAATTATGTCGACGTCTTTTAACGTCGTTCACTTGAAGAATCAACGAGATGAATCATTTGCTTTGGGCAATGGACAAGCTAAACTTTATCTTGCATGGTGGGAGGTCGATAAGGTTAGTATTTATTTTAGATTGAGTTTAAAGGTATTCATAAATAAGTGCGCAAATGAATGAATTATTACTTATGATTGTAGGTGTTTATCCCTGTTTGGAACGTAAACATTGACTTCTCGTCGAGCTTCAGCTCCCATCCCTTAAGGCAATAGTATATGACAGCATGATAAATTACATATCATTGGCTGATTTAAGAGATATTATTAAGGGATGGAGCTCTCATTTGGCTAAATTCTTGGATGCGATAAATTATTGGACTCGTTCTGGAAACAAGAAGCCAAAGAAGCTCAATATTATAGTTAGCAGAGACGAGACCGCACCACAACAAACGGAAGGAGCCAGAGGGGATTGTGGTCCTCTCGTATGCTTGGCGTTGGAGCGTTTGATCACAGGAAGTATAAAGTATCTACCTCCCACCGATAGAGATAGAGCTGTAGTAGGCTTGTGGTTTAAGCATTATATGGCTAGATCGATATATTCGAGACGCTGCCTACCTGCATCCGCGTTATAAAAATGTTCATAAACAATTGGTAAGTTTATAGGCTTTTGGTTTGAAAATGTTTGGTTAAGTACCTAGAATTCAATAATTTGTTGTTTGTAGGTTTTAGATGTGTAGAAAGTGTTGTTTGAGCAAATGTTTGGTTTCTGCAGGTTAATCTCAGAAGTGATCTGCGTGAAAATGATGTATGGCTGCAAAAGTTGATTCAATAGTAGATGAGGAAATAAGAATTATTGCTTATTTTTTGATTGTTTAATTGATTTGTAAAAGATGATTTGTAAAAGTTGATTTGTTTAATTGATGTGAACATAATTCTTATTTGTGTTTGTTTAATTGATTGAAATGTAATGGTTGATTTTGTTGATTTCAATCTGCATTATGTTGAAGGTAAAAATGACTATCGCAATGCGAAATGAAAATCGCAACGAGAGAATCGCAATGCGAAATGAAAATCGCAATTGTTTGAGCACACTGAGGTAAAACACGTCTTAAACAGTTTATATGCTTATTAAAATTCACTTCCCAATAAGCTTTTACAGCCTTCCAGTATGTCCATTTGTGATTTTTTATACTAGCAGACCTTGATTTTAGATTTCTATACAAATGAACATCGCAAAGTCCATGAAAAGCATCTGGGAAACACCTTCTAACAGCGTTGTCAATTGAGTTTGTCCTATCGGATATGATTGTCAGATTGCTAATAGGACCTATGCAATCCCTAAGATGCCCCATAAACCATATCCATGAATCAGAGGTTTCAGATTTGCCAACCCCGTAAGCTATTGGCAGTATCCCATTGTTATCATCCATGGCTACTGCTAATAAGTTTACTCCAAAGTATCGACCTTTTAAATGTGATTCGTCACCTATAATAAATGGGCGCATACAATTAATAAACGAACGAATCTACAAAATCATATACACAAGAAATATAATCATTTAAATGTGAAATGCATGTAACTAACAAAAATGAGTCAACAAAATTATATTGATTTACTAACCGCAGCACCAATGGCGATAAACAGCAACTCAAAGCGTCCATCTCTATCTGTTTTGATATGAGTTACCGACCCATGATTTTTCAACTTTAAATTGTGACAATAAGCCGACAGTTGGGCAAACGATGCTTCTGGCGACCCCCTCAACAATTCCAAGGCATAACATTTGGCTCTCCAAGCTTGAGAATATGAGATACTAATCTTGAACCGACCATTCATGTCAGTCATAATTTCATGTCCCCGATATACCCTACCATTCAAAAACATTAACTCAGCCAGAAAACCACCCAACACCTTTTTGTTTGCCTGTCTATGGTGAGGAAAAACTTGGGTTCTTGAACATATATGTTTATCAATAAAAGTCTTAACTTGAAACATTTGACAATCTTTTATCCTCTTTGCAATCATACGCCACATACAGTTTTTGTCAATCATACACCTTGTTTCGAAACGATCTTTGCTTGATTTGTTAACTTTTAGTTGATAGCCATCTTCCACACATTTCGTATACAAAGCTATCTTAAAGTCTTCCTTTGTATCAAAACAATCATCTTTCTTGATACGAATAATTTTTGTGTAACAATCAACTGCTATCTTTACCAACTCTTCTTCCGGTATCTGAAGTAATTCTGGCATATTCCAGTTATACTCCCGTGGCATTTTCTTCGGGGACTTTTCTTTGGGGATTTCTTCTTTTTCTTTTTCTTCTTCAGTGTTATATGAATTACAGAATGGATGTTCAACATGTTCATTTACAGTCGTAACTTCCTCCTCATTATCATCAACAACATCTTCCTCGGCAACGGCTGTTTCATCATCAAAATTCGGGTATTGACCAATATCAAAATCATTACACGCAGGGTCTGTTTCTTCTTTTGAAAAAGCATCAAAATCCGAGTATTGACCAAGATCATAGTCCGGGTATTGACCAAGATCAAATTTCGAATACTGACTAGTACTCACAATTTTTTCTGTTGGCTCATCATCGTATAACTGGTCAATCCGAAAACCAGAATTTGGTGCTGAAAGTTGATTGGGATTTGGATTAGGGAAAGGTTGTGGGTTTTGAGATTGTGTTTGGTATTGGAAATGTGGTGAAACAATATTTGCTTGGTGATGAAATTGTGGTGGAACCATTAAATTTTGAGCACCATAAACTGGGGTTGAAAAACTTAGTTGATTACTACCCGCTACTGACCCAACTTCACTACTTCTAGGTTTAACAACATACAATGTAACATCATCACTTGAAACACTAATGTAAGCAATGAATCGTTTAACATCTTCATTGTCGGTTAACAAATAAATTTTACCATTTCTCTGATAAGATAGCCTAAATCCACTTAGGGGCTCTAAATTCAATATATTTGCAACACGTAACATTAGAGTTTCATAAGTTAACTTTTTTAATGACAGTTTTAGTTAAAGATTCATGGGTAAAGGCATATATTGTAAAACACCATGAACATTCTCCCATGACCCTCCAAAACACAAATCTATCCAAACATGATCAACATTAGATGATTTCATTATTGTAAATTAATTTACTAAACAAACGAGCTGCGAAACTAAAACCTGTTGCCGGATGGGGAAGGATGTCGTTGGATATAGGAACGGATGTTACCGGAGAGAGTGATAGATGGAGATGGAATGAGTTGCGATTTAGGGATTTAGGTTATGAGTTGCTGCTGCTGCGTAGTTATATACCCAAAACATTTATGTTGCGAAATTAAAACCTGTTGCGAATTCAGAAATCGAGTTGCGAATTTGAAATTCAGTATTGCGATAGTCAGAATCTCATTGCGATTTACGTATTCTCGTTGTGATTTTCGGATACGCAATGCGATTTTACGTATTGTCGTTGCGATTTACGGATACGCATTGCGATTTTACGGATACTCGTTGCGATAGTCAGAATCGCGTTGCGATTTATATGTTCACGTTGCGATTTTCATATTCGCGTTGCGATTCTGGAAAATCGCAAGGCTAATTTATACTATCGCATTGCGATTCTTCATAATCGCGTTGCGATTCTGGGAACTGATTTGCGATTCTGGAGATCGCGTTGCGATTTTTATTTCGCATTGCGATTTTGTTGGTCATTTTGACAAATCCAAAAAAAGTTGGTTAAAATCGTATATTATAAGGCATTTTTTGTCACTGAGGTTATTTTCTCTTATACTATTAATATATATATGGAATATGTCTATCATAAAAAATATTTTAAAATCCATCACTCTATTTGAATTTTTTTTTTCAATTCTCTTTAGACCATAAAACCAAGACTATGGCTTACTGTTGAGGAACACTTGGAGCCCAATTGTTTTTGGAATTGAGAAAAGCCTAGAATCTAGGTTTAGAATGTAGTCCATTTTATGAAATAGAGTATTTGGTACTTTGAAACATTTTTTTTTGGTGAAAGAATGTTTAAATCAGGGATGACTCTCCCGATTCAAAGTCAGGGTTTATCTAAGATCCAATTGGTATTTACATAGGAATTTATAGATTATTTATCAAGAGTGATAGTAGTAGGATTCGAACTTGACCTTACAAACTCGAATTCCTTAATCACAACCACTTGCGATAATTACAAGCTCGAATTTGGTACTTGAAACTTTATTCATGCAGCCCAAGTTCAATAACCTTGAATGAATCGGTACACTTTTAACGTATATTAGATAATTACAATTATATCCTTGTAAATATATATGTTTCATTTTATACCTTGATTTTTATGTGCTTTTCCTCTATTTTCCTACTAAGTTGATGTCATTAAGTTAAATGGTATCATATTTAATCAAACACTTAATATGTAATATCCTAAAATCTAGATGTAATTCATAAAATATTATCTTTCTTGCCAAAGTTTTTCTCTCAACCTTTGCATCACTTATTCTCTTTATATATATATATATATATATATTTGACGGGACATCAATCTTGATGCCAATCAATGCGAAATAAAATGTACGCAAATGACTCTGCTAAACATAAAATTTTATAATGACTTATTTTTCGTGTTTAAGGATCAAGATATCATCTTTAGGGTGTGTTTGGTTGGGGGAATGTAAGATTTTCATAGGAATGGAATCCACATTTACCCGTTTGGTTGGCCGGGAATGTCATTCTCGGTAATCTTACATTACCAATAGTGGATTTTTGAGGTATATTACACAGAATGTCATTACTTCCATTTTCTTAGGTATTGTTGTATTACCGACATTTTGGACTAGAATGCCCTTAATTTTTTTTTCTTTCAAAAATATCCTTATTCTGTCATTGAATAATAAAAATTCTACGAAGGTTAAATTACAAATTTATCCTTAAACTATTTTAGATTTACAAAAAAAATCTATAATTAAAATTTTATATGAAGTTTAGGGGTTAAAATAAAATTTGACCCTTTCATTAAATCTTTTTATATTTTCAATTTTGTAAAAAAATTATATAAATTTTATGAATTTAATTTTTTTAAAGAAAATATATAAATATTTTCCTAACTTGTTAAAAAAATAAATATAAAATAAGGACAATTTGATCAAATATATATTTTAATAATCTTTTATTCTTTTAACTAAAAACGATAATCTTACATTCCTGCTAAACCAACCAAACACAAAATACAATATTTCTAGTAATCCTATTCCCTGTTAATCTTTTATTTTCACTGATAATCTTACATTCTGTGAACCAAACGCACCCTTAGTGTTGGGTCGCTAATCATTTGTGATGTTTAATCATCCACGTTAACTTGCATATCATCATTTTCTATTCTTTATTGTGAAAAAGAAACGTGCTAGTTTGGGAGTAAAGATTGAAGAGAAATATCAATGAAAATGATGTCTTACGTGAACAAAGAATATCAATAAAAAATGACTAACGTGCCACATTATTCTTTTATTATCCAAGTAACGGTTGTTAACGCTCGATTAATCGATTTGTCATAAATTGATAATATTAATGATTAAATTGTTATTTTTGAAATATTAATAAAAGAAAAAAAAACTTATTTAAACATCATTAACAATTTAAGTAATTTACCCGGGTAGTTCTGCGGTGCGGCGCCTAAAAAACGGCTAATATACGGCGTGACCGGTTAAACAAGTGACCGGTTAAAATTTAGACCGGTTATGTTATATTATTTAACCGGAAATATTATAAAGTACAATAACATACTAGGTAGCGCTTATATAATGTAATAGGTAGCGCTTATATTTATCTATTTTTATAAGTAAACCGGTATATTTATACCGATAGCATTGCAAATTTACCTATTACATTATATTATATTGAAAGTGTCCATACTTTTTATAAAAAGGATCGATACTTTAACAGTGTATTTAGCTCGTTAAAATCTGGACACGCGTTCCAAACATCATTGAGATCTTTACAGTAGGTAACAGAATCGTATGTTTTGCATTTTTTTTGATCCTGTTCACAAACAGTCGAACATAAATATGTAGGAATCATAGACAACGAAAAGTCAGCAAACTGTAATGACATTCATCTTACCCACACGAATAGAAAATGCTCGGAAAATACAGGTAGTTTCTCAAGTACACGGTCGACGTTATGCCTGAGATTGTAATCAAGTTTGAATGTTAACATTCAAATGTATATTAACGATTTTTGACTACAGTAATTCAATTGCCTCAAACATGTTCTAACCTCATCTTTGAAGACCAAAGGGCAACAACAAAATTGTCGACACAAAATTGCATAAATTCAAATAATCCTCTTCTGAGGACAACATCTACAACATGAAGAAAATGAGATTAAAGTTCTACGCTTATATGTTAAAATAATGGATACAAAAGAATAGAATTAAAACCTGTCGGCAGTCTTGGGATGTAGGCAAGGACACCATTGAGATCAAAAATTAAAAGTTTTCTTGAAGGCGGCGTTGCAGACACGATATACTTGTTTGGATCATCATCTTCATCATCATCATCATCATCGTCATCATCTTCATCGCCAGCTTCATCGTCATCATCATCATCATCGTCATCTTCATCGTCAGCTTCATCTTCTGCGACCGCTTGGTTGTCCACATCTGTTAAAAGAAAATAAAATAAAGTTCAGAACGTGTAAATGTTAAGAAACATAGATAATGAATTACCTAACTCGTTTGATGTCGTTGACGTAATTCGTTACGCAACATGGAGACTTCACGTTGCAATGATGAAATATCGGATCGCATTCCACTCACAAGGGAATCAATATGCTCCCGAAAATTGACCATGTATTCCATCACGGTCTTAATTGTGACATCCTCTGCAACTGGAGCTTCTTCCATCATTGCGTCTCCACTTGGTTGCTCTTCTTCATAGCCAATGGGGTCCATTTCCTCCCTCTCTTGATCTAATCCGACCTCCTTGACACGCTTCCAACCGAGTTTTTCAACAAAATCATATCCCGCTTTTTTAATAAATACCATGTCAATCTTGCGGGTTAATCGAACAGGGGCGTCATGCGAAAAATCAACTTCCTTCTTCTTCAACAGATGGGTGATGACACATCCATATGGTAGTGTAGTTGAAATTGTTGCTCCCTTTGTGACCATATATACAATTGTATTAAATATGAGTTTTGCAATGTTTGGAGCCGTTTTGGATTTATACTTTGCTATCCACCAATAATCGCTGTCTCGAAGCGTTGAATGTTTTCCCCCACTAGGCCGGATATACCATGTGAGCATTTTATGAAACACTCTCGACTCTACATCGAGGTGAATTGGGCTATTTCTAGTAACCCGTTTAATTGTAGACCAATCTACACCATTTTCATCTGAATCCCCTGTATTCGCTACACCTAAACCCTCCGCAATAGTTTCTGGAGATATATATATCCTTCCCCATGACATGTGTATTAATTCCTATTATATTAGTCTTATTAGGCTCGTGCTGTAAGGAAGCATTGTTGTAGAAGACTCTAACTAGGTTGGGATAATATCTTGGTTCTACACCAAGGAATTCAAGCCAACCCCAAGATGTAAATGTGGATTTAAAACTAAATGCATATTTATCATCAAACAAGAAACCCAGGTCAATGACATGTTCGGGACGAATCTTCCTTACTTTAAAACTCGTCTGCCATCTTTGTTTCTCCATGTCGGATCTAAAGTTCAGAGTTTCGAAGGACCTGATTTCCTCAGAAGAATCGTTTGTTACAGAAGGAGGTGGTTGAGAAGAACTGGGTTGAGAAGAGCTTTGAGAAAGACCTCGCTTCTGACGCTGACGTTTTGGAGCCATTTTGGTTGGATGCTACCCCTATTACAATGGAACACAAACACATTCAGGATAAAAACTCCAATATAGAAATCAATCAAACCCATAAAATATCGATAAATTTACCTGAATATCTGATCGTCACTTATGATAACGGTAGAAGAAAGAGGAAGATCTGCCTGCTTGCATTTATGTTTAGGGTTTCTCGATTAAGAGTACTATATATCGTAAACGGTGGAAAACACTTGATATTTAAATTAGTATCGACACAAACTATATTAGTGTCGACACATTATTTAGACATATTCTCTCATAAAACCGGTATAATTGTACCGGTTAGATTGAAAAATTACATATTACATTATACTTTTGG